ATCTGGAAGAAGGCCACGAATTCGACTTCTCGAACACACAGATAATGGCACGAGACAGTTATAAGACAGGACGCGAGCTGCTGGAGGCCTGGGTGTCAGATCCTCACTCCATAAACAGGCATGTGGATATACCGCCCTGTTATTTTGCCATCCATGCCCGCGACTAAAAACCAGGTCCCAGTTCCTCTTTCAAGCATGCAAGCTACCACGTCAAGGTCACATGCCGTTACTCCAGGGACGCCCGTCGAAGACACGATAAGACGGCGTGGGAATGGACGTGGCGTGGACAGAGACAAATCAATAATTGCCACCCCCCTACTAACCCAATTTATGCGTAGCTGACGCTTGCTGTTCTCATTATCTCTGACGATGGCTTCTCATGTGGAGCCGAAAGCTCCGAATAAAACTATCGTTACAAAGATCGCGTATTCCTCTTCTTTACAATTTCTTTTCTGAAATTAATCTTAAATATTCTTCCAATCTTGCATATAGCGTTTAACTAGTTTATATTTATCTTTAGTGGCTTTTATCATACGGACAACTTAAACTGGACTGGCAATTGTGACTTATGTTTCGCTGTCAGCGGGGCATTACCAATTCACAATTAGTCGTTCAATCAGAAAAAAACTAATGACTACTTGACTTCGATTTCAAGACATTGCAAGCACTCTTTGAAACTCTTTTAAACTGCGTTGACAAATCCGTTTTATTTGAAATTTGGAGATGAATAGCTTTTGACTGAACTTTGCATCACTTACTAAGAGCTTTTCTTCAGATCCAAAATTATCAACTACTTTTAACTTCGGTCTAAGGTTTCCTTCGACAATCACATAGGAAGATAAACAGGCTTCTTATTTTGCTAAAAAGAAGCAGTCTACGTTCGTATGCCGGTTTTTCACTGCACAAATATCATATTGCCCAGATAGTCCATTTTGTAGATCAATTCTAACCTACATTGTGATCTTCATTCGTTTCCAGAGCTGCCTATCTAAGAACTATTTTGAGGAAATGAGAACCTTTTTAAGAATCGTAGCGTTAACTCTCGCCTGATTATGAAACATCACTGAAAAGGAAAATGCCAAATTTCATCTGTGACTTGTGGTTGACCATCATTCCATCATCGCCGACTGCAGGCTATGTATATGCAGGATCCCTCAAAGATGGAGTTGAAAACTAATGTATCTACGTCGAAAAAGCAACGTGGCGTCATATAGGGCTCAGTTTTAGGTCCCAAATTATTCCTTGTTTTTATCAACGACTGTGTCAGAGACCTAGACTGTTCGCTGACGACATGAAATTATGAAAACTTGTCCAAACTACGGCAGATGAAAACCATCTGCAAGCTAACTTGAACAGAGGACTGGTCAAGGCATTCACTTATGCCTCTACTTGTTGCTTCCATGCGAGCCTTTGGGCCCCTCCTAACAAAATGCAACTTTCTTCAACTCAGTAGTTGTAGAGCATCTGGTCTGAAGGTATATTCCCTAAACGGTATACCGCTGCAACAAGTTGAGAGTCAGAAGGACTTGGGTTTGTGGATTACTTCTTCACTCAAACCAACGCTGAAATATAGGAAGGCAGCGAAGTCGGCCAGATCTATATTACAGATGATTAAACGAACCTATATGGGGTTTGGAAAAGACAGCTTTTCCAAAATATTTGGATGCTTCGTTCGGTCGAAAATGGAATTCGGTATACAGAAATGATGACCTTGGACTGTCAAAGATTTTACGGTCTTAGAGAACGTCCAGAGGCGAGCGACAAAGGGGTCAAAGGTCTGAAAACATTGCCCTATAAGAGCAGATTGTCAACACTCATTCTACTTACCCTTCCTTACGAGGGGACCTCATGCTTACTTTCCGTATTATGAATAACCTGGATTGTTGCTTTGGCCCTATAATTTCTTTATCCAGGCTAATACGCCAACTTTGCTAGGTCATCCCCTTAATATACCCAGGCAAAGCAAGGAACGATGGACAAACATTATTATTGAGCAAAAGAGTTGTTGCGGCATAGAACGCATTTCCTGAAGAGGTAGTCTTCTCCACCCATGTTAATTCATCAAAGAGGAGACTGGACCTGCACCAAGCGAATTATAACCTACCCTATACAACAAAGTAATTACATTACATTATACTACTCGTTATTAGAGAGTAATAATGTTTTATTACTATTTCAACCGCCTGACAACTGCTGTGTCTTCACCTGGAACATGTGATGGACGTACTTTTTAATTTTTTCCTTGTTTACATATATTTCTTATCACCATGTTACCAATAGGGAGTCCATAGAATTTCCCTGCCTTTCCCTCAATAAACTGAAACTGAACCGAGGGAATATTTTCATTTGACCAGTTGATATCCCCTTGTGTCAATAACGCTGACAGACATATTTACGTTCAATTTCAGAAACTCCGAAAATAGCGTCTGCTAATGTTGGCATTAGTACTCCGAAACAGCATCTCAGCTATTTTCGTGCCGCCAGACAGGCGCTTGGGTAGCGCATGCAAAAACAAATGGCTGATACTAATAGAAAAGTAACCAACCTCGTCCTTCAGGTATTGTTGGAATGCCATTTGGTCCTGGGCAAGGCGCAAATTCTCCTGGGCTATTTTTTCGCGTGCGTTTCGGGCTGCCCTCTCCATCTGACGCTCAATCAGGATGCCCACTTTGTTGGCATTCACTCGCTGGCAGTCCCACTCACGATTACGTTCCTCCTCCTCGGCCTTTAGGCGCTAGGTAACGATAATTATCAAAACCAAATTCATAGTAAGGACTATTGACATAATTAGTAATTATATTTTAAGGCAAACATGTTTATTTCAATCGTGGCACCGCTGCATTCACAGCTGATACGAACAGTGTTGCATCAACAAGAGGTTATCTGGGACTCAAATAAAAGCGCATTTTGTCCTTGTCATTCTAGGTCATTTTTTTATTTCAGACGCCAAGCAACCAGAGATAATTCAATCTTTTTAGAAGACGCAATCTGATGGACGCAAAATAGGCGCCTTCACTGAAAAAACTGGTTAAGTAGTTTGATAAAATACGGGAATTCTAGTAATACGGGTTTATGGGATGGGTTATAGTGGTAAAACATGAAGCAGTCGAATAAAATAGCTTCGTAAGTAGGATGCGGACATTGGAAACATGTTGTGTTTACGTAAGTAAATAATTACTTGGCATTGTCCCGCGTCGTTCGAAAATTTGAGTTTTTAGCCGGTAGCAAAAGCTCCAGGGAAGGCGAGAGCTGACTGGCGCAAGAATAACATCAACCTGAACGAGGCCAATAAATATATCTATTAATCTAACGCTCCCAACTCCAACACAACATCATATATAAAGCTCACCCCTACCTCCTCCTTTCACCCTAACCCAAAACTAAATTTCTAAATCGATTCTTCCCTCCATAACCCCAACCCTAACCCGAAACTATATTCCTATATCGAACTCACCTTCCTGGCACCCGCTTCAATTGCGGATAAGTCTTCGACCATTTATCAAAGCTTTCTGTGTAGAATGTGTAATGGATTGATTCGCAGTAATCTGTTTTATTGTATACCATTGACATGAAAACATGCTAGCCGACTGACGAGCATTCGCTGCAAGCCTATGGCCGACTTGAGATGCCATTCGGTTCTTTTTGATCGCCATAGTGGCTTCTGAAAATAAATTCGGCAACGATGCCAAAAAGAGTTGACCCAGTGGTGGCAACTACTATGCTTTCACCCAAAACCTTAATGAAATTGACTCTACAAAAAGGTTTACTGGGATGGCAAACAATTGCTAAGGTAACCAGTTCAGCAATCACGATGAGATTCGTACGGACACGCTTCGAAATGATCTTCCAGCGGTCCAGCAATTAAGACATGAGCAAAAGCACCTAAAATAACTGTGCCGTCGATCCATGTCTATTGTGTACTTTAAAGAGTCTCCTAAAATTCAATCGACGTCTAATACCGGGAGGAGATATTAGGGCAAACGGCGTAGGTATAAAAAAGTGCACCTTCCTTCGGCCATACGTGAAAAATTAGACCGTCGTATTGTCTCCCGGATAGTCTTATAGAACATGCAGCAGGAATAAAGCCTAATCAGCCCTTTTACACAATAAATGATGCCCATCTATAACGCAACTTATCAGAACGGATTTAAAGTAATAAATGCATACCTTCTTTTCTTCAACCTGGAGCTGTTGCGTTTTTCTAATATGATCCAACTGCTCCTGTGTCAATCCCTTGTATCTATCAGGACAGATTCTGTGCGGTCCAAATGCCGAGGTAGCTTGAGCCGGATTTTCAGTCAAGAGATCGCTGTATATGCAATTGGCTATCTCTGTCGCATTATCATCCTCGTCATGTTGTTTCTTTATTCGAGCTCTCTCAGCCTGCTCGGCAGCGAGAACTTCATTATAATGGCGCAAGGCTGTATTAACTGCACGCTTGCATCGCTCTTCAGCCTTAGCAAGCTCGCAAGCGCGCTGATCCAGTTCTCGCCGCTTTAGATCGTAGAGCCTGAATGCAAGAAGACATCCAAAATTTTCAAGGCACACCTCTTGATTTATTCAAGAATGTCTACTGAGCATTTGTAGGTAGTTGGGAAAAGAAAGCTATAATAGTGGAGAGTGTGGCAGATTGGAGGTTCAAGAAAATTTGTACCCAGATATCTAATGGCAATCATGTTTCATGTGTTTAATGAATTACAGCGAAATCTCTTTAAGGCAGACGACGTGACAACTCGAAAGCAGTAAAAGCAGAACAAGTGCTTGGATGGAGGTAGAACTCGAGTCGAAAACCAAAATAGTTGATTCTCTCAGCTCTGTGAAAATAGAAACCTTACTGGTCATACAGCTGGAATATCATTCGCGCTCGGGAGGTTCAGTGACAGTGCATGCATTCCAAGGCTTAATTTTAACTTGACTGATGCAATTCTCGCAGGTGAGCGCTTAATGCTCACAGCCGTGCATTATGGGCTACCCTTCCTAAACCTAAACCACCGAAATTCTGCGTGTATGCTTTTCATTTAATGATTGAGTATGTGAATTAACACTTGAGATAAATGCTCCCGTATCTTCAGATTAGGAATATTATTTCCGAACTAGGCTTCGCGGGTCTAGTAAGTATTGAATGAGGTACTAGTGGTTTTATAAAAGCGTTCAAAACTTAAACAAGTATAGTCAGCAAGCATTGGGAATAATCTCTCGCCATCCTAGGTTATAAAATGACATGTCTTCAAACTATAGGAAAATGTACATGATATTAATATAAATTAATCCAATTATCCGTTTAACTCAAGCAAAAGCCACTAGTTAGCGGCAACTGAGCGAAAATATCTGAAACCTGTCAGTAAAATCCAGCGTACAACTATTAAATGGCGAATATTGTAAGGATGGATGACAAATAATATATTTATGAAATCCATGCCAACAAAGATGCGGAGGAAGTGTCCGGCACAAAAAAATTAGCTTTTTGTTCAGATTTTTTAACCCATATTATCAAAGTTTATCAGAAACTCATCCGAGAAAGTGGTTTAAATGCTGTGAATGGTCGAGCAGAAATACGCGTTCTACATATGGGCTGCCAGAGAAAATAAAATATTGTTAAAACCTCTGTTTTCATCGACGTGTTATTAACCAACGGCAATGAAAAATTTTCGCAAATTTCTATCACTATATCAAGCGGCTACAAACTCTTTATCTTCATATTTTTCGTGCTGTTTGTGTTGATCATTCCCTAGTGGTATCCTCATGATTTGTGACTGGTACCTAGTTGTGACACTGTCTTTACTTTTTCATTAGATTTCCTTGTCAACAAAATAGGATGCAACTGTGACTATTTACGGCCAAAAACAGCATGTACTATGTCTGACCGGTTAATATCTGGCGACGCGTAGGTGGAAGAGACGATGTCATTTCATTTGCGAAGGACGGGGTATGTATCAACGGCATAGAATTTTGAAATATATTAATGAACAACGACCTGCTATAAGATGTTACTACGCGAATAATATAAAACATTTAAGACTTGCTTGGGAGATAGCTCAGTTGTCTCGGTCACACATTCATGTATTTAAATAACTGACCTTCATTCCTAACCACCCCTATACCTTAAATTACTGTTAAATTCTGTTTTTTTGTTTTCCTTATAACTGCAAAAAATAGATTGATTACACATAAGACTAAAGGAATAAGCGTTTATAAAGGCGAGCTTTGGCTAAAATTCGACGGTTATAGCATTGTTTGCGAGAACAGGGCGATTAATGACGTAACCGGGCTTAACAATAGAACGTGACTGACTATTATTGAACAGTACTATCACCGGCGCCAAGCCCGCAACCTCCCACGTGACTTCGCTTCCATACCTCCTTCTGGGACAGCCATTCACAGGTGCCGTAGACTGCTATTAGCCAAGCAGTTTATAAAGCAGCCAGCGACTCACTCTTGCATGACGTTTACGCATTCATGTTCACACCACGCCAACAGATAGAGGCTCGCGCAGGGCTCGCGGCCTGCTGCGCGTCGGGGCTTCATACCACCACTGACTTCCTGTACACAATAAACAACTCCCACTGGTCTTACCCCTCTTCTTCCTGTGCGAAACTAGGCGTGATAAATGTAGTGCTCTGAGCAGACTCACGGCTTAGACTTCTACAGTACCACCCCATTCGAATTTCCATGCTCTGGGACGGGAGAGCACCCATTATCGAGGGTTATTTGTACAGCAACCCGTATAATTTATAGGACCGAATTCCAAGGCATAGTGACAGCGTCCATTACCACCAATAAAATATTTGTTTTCGCTCTTCGAAAGAAAGCTGACAGAAACCACAGATGCATGTAGCACATAAAACTGAAGTAACATTTTGCACCAGCTTACATTTTCTAAGGATAGAATCGCTTGATAAAATGTAAAATAAAGCTAACTGAAAATCCCATGTGTCAAGTGTGGTGCATTCTACGGCGGTCAAAACAAGTCATATCGCTCAATCGGACACTTGAACACCAGTCAACAACCTGTGAAGTGTAATTCAGAAGAGTCCAAACCGTCAATGATAAAGTTAATGAGAAGATAACCGACATCCTTAAAAGCGTTTTAGATTAGAAAAAGTTAATTTAATGGGGGTGATAATATAGATTATTATGCGGCAAACCTGCATGATATGTCAGAACATTCAGATTATGAATGCACTTCGGCAAAAATGAGTCCTGGAGTAGTACTCATGTTCTCTATTTATTAACGAGGTCTTTCTGAATTGAACGATATTAATTATAAAACATCCAAAGTATTCGGAAGAAGAAGAAACGATCACTGGAACAAGAGGTTTATTTTCCTGAC